CTACTATGTGCTATTATTTATAATTTATTTAGTGCACATTTTAGAGTAAAGGTATAGAGAACTATGTAGATTTCCTATCCTTGTATATGTTAATTCGTTCTTTGGGTCTACTCTGCTTTCCTTCAGTGTTTTCCATCTCACCTTGGTTATTATCTATGAGATTATGAAAATAAGTTTGAAGACTGACCTGTTTTGAAACTAATGTCGGCTCTAAGCAAAGTCTGAATTTACGTAATGCCTAGAAAAGCCTGAGGCGTTGAATTCCTCAGATAATATATCTTGAGAGAAACATTAGACCGAGAAGATAGTATTGTGTGTACATCGTGTATGAGGTATAAATAAACAATAGAGCTTGGATGGAGCTCGACAAATCGGATTATGGTTCAAACACGGATCGGGCAGACTAAATGTAGTTTAGGTGGAATCCATTCCACTTATTAGCTCAAGTAATTACTTACTGTCTATTGAAATTATTCCAATAAATAAGAGACGTTACTCTGTAAAATTCGTTTAAACCAACAGAGCTTGTCCATGTAAAAAATCTATTGTTTATTTCGTAACAATAAATAGTAAAATAACTACAAAATTGCGCGACAATTTCATCAGTTTATCAAAGTCAAACTTTAAGTATTTTTTTACGTAGTTATCGGTTAGGTACACTTACAAATGCCACAGTAGTTCAAAACTAAAAACTCTACATTTACATTTATTACCCGTCCTCTAATCAAGGGCGTAAAACGAACGGGAAGAACTAGCAAAAAACTCGTGCAAAGAAAAGTTTACATTAAAATCATTTCATTTTTATATCGATAAGTGATATAAAGATGTATAAGGTGTCTTCTCATAAATATTATTACTTTAATTATGAATGTTTTCTTAGCAGGTTACGGCATCCAAATAAATCAATTAATTTAATGTATATTATTATGAGTTTTAACGTTAAGACAGTTGATATAATTATAATGAGAAACAAAGAATTTAATTTATATTATCAAGCACGTGAGATTCGATTGGCGAAGGTTAAAAACAATTGTCTTATATATTGTATATAAGAAATGAAATATCGCTGCACGTTGAGTTAAGTCTTGTAAACAAGTTCGAATTGAAAGCGATTCCAGCCCCGCAAAATCTAATACAGTCTTAAGTGGAAGATGCACTATTCGTCTGTCAGATACATGACCTAAATTCACTCTCATGTTTACAGCTAGAACTCCACCACAAATAGCTACCAAAAAAAGATGGACAAAAAGGACTATTCCTATACCAACGTAAATACTGTCTATAGTTTTCGGGGGGAGGACCCCTTTAAAAAAAAACCCTTTTCGCCGTGGGGGGGGGGGGGGGCCCGCCCCCCCCCCCCCCCGGCGGGGGGGCCAAACCCCGGGGGGGGGGGGGGGGGAAAAAAAAAATTTTTTATAATTTTTTTTTTTTTTTTTTTTTTTTTTTTTTTTTTTTTTTTTTTTAAAAAAGCTTCAACGTAACATAATTATCTAATATTATTGAAGTTAAACAACCTTACGTATAAAGTTGATAAAATAAACACACTTATACTTATTTCCAGCAAAAAGATCGAGTGTTTTTATTCTTCTGGCCAATTTCTTACCGGACTCAAACAGATGGTCTAATATTTTATTCGCCCTTTGCAATTGCGTACTACGATTTGTTTTACCAAAATTTGACACACCCACCTTTTTTCTTATTACTTAGATGTAGAAATAGAAGTTATGATTATATATCGTGTGAAAACTTTAATGTTTTCACATGTTATTGTACATGATGGCACTATATAATTTAAAGACCAAAAATAAATTGAAATGTCGACTCGGGCAGTCCTTGAACGGGCATCGTCAGCATTCCGTGCTCTAATACGCAACTGTTAAGGATTCAGTAGCTGAATTGGTTAGAGCAACAGCGCGGAACGCTGACGATGCCGGTTCAAGTCCTACCCAAGTCATTTTTTTTTGTTTGTAAATTATAACTATATTACTATATGGTACTATGTTACTATATGTACAAAAGTACCACCTAAGCTTTTTAACGAAAAACGTTATAGTAGAAAATCATATTTTTATTAACATAATTAATCCCTTTTCCTCTATGATGTGACGTTAGATTATTTAGACCGTAATCTAAAACGCTGGCCAAACTCGTTTTGGCAGATGATACGTGTCGTTGATTTTTTGACTCAAGGACGTGTCGACTTTATCACAAACATATTTTTTTTTCAAACTGGCTTGTCTGCCCACCTCTATTATAATAAAAACTTCTTTGTTTTGGATTTAGTTTAAAAAATGGTTTTTCTAATAATAAACGAACAATTCTACGTAAAACCATGAAACCAGAAGTTAAACAGTTGGTTAAAATCTGGTTCACATTGAGTATGTTAAAAAATAAACATCGTTAAAAGCTGCCTTTGCATAACAACGCTACAAGGACATGTGCCTTTTGTTCGTAGCTTATAAAAATGAAACAGCTAGTTATACTGTTTTAGTAAAGCTTTGCAAGTGTTTTTTATTTTTTAAATTCAACTGTTTTATATATACTGATCTTTTAGTAGATTGAAAACGATTTTGTCGTTGTGCAATGCTAAAATTTGTATTAAACTAGAACAGACACTGTTAGTTTAATTCGTCACTTTTCGTCGTCATTATTTTTCTCACTTTATAAGTCGATTACTCTTTAGTCATTCGTTCACGCGAGTGCTAAAAGTACAATAGACACCGGTATCATAGTTTGATCGTATCCCAACCGCGACTGCTGAAAGAGCCAGAAGCGGTCAAATTCTTTACAAACAACAAATCCCGTTAGTTTGGTTTAAGATGTATTCATATATACTCTTCGCTGTTTGTTGTTAAATTAGTTAAGGTCACAGGTTCTGTGATACACGTGTACTGGTGTGACACGATGAGCGTCTATTTCGGGTAGATGATAATTTCCCTCTATACTCGATTAAGCCCTGGAACGTGATATGAGCAATGTTATTTTGTGTGCATATTGTGCATATTATGTGCATATTATGTATATTGTAACCGTTGATCAAACCGCTCTTACCGACCTGAGATTGTATTATGCCTATACACAAGTCACGTCGCTTAAAAAAGTCAAATCATATTTACAGCATATATCAATTTCGTTCCCTTCTTCATTCTTTATCATAATTATACTATATATATAATGTCATCATGTGTACACGTAAGAGTAATAAAGAATTCAAATGACATCTTTTTTGGCATCTATTGTCGTCTTCGGGAAGGTCGAACGCGCATATGAGTATGTACAAAATATAAAGAGACCTGTTACAGCGTCGAATGTGCCAGTCGGCGAATCGACAGTTTGCATTTGCTAATTAATAGGTAGGCGCGGTGCGTGTTGGAGGAACTGCCTTTTACCGGTTTTACTGCGAACTTTTCATCGTGTTCCGCGCCCTCAATTAAATTACTTGTTATTAGAGGCTAGTAATGTAATAGAGGCTAATTTAAAAAATTTTATACACCAAATTAATTAAAAACAACTTTCAATTTACTTTGCGTTCAATTATAACAAGTGCCCGTAAATAAACCCGATTAGTGGACGGACCGGACTCAGAAATGTATCTACCGTATGTCCTATGTAATTCATCAATTTTTACAATTTACTCTTATGTTTGAAACCCACCATAAGACACTTTAATTTGGTATTTGCATACCGCAACATTTGTATTTATATGTTATTTTATAAAAAAATCTTCATTTTCCTCTTCACATAATTCTGTGCCTGAGGTGGACTCTTTATCATTCTGATCTTTTTTGGGGAACAATTCGACACTCGACCGAATTCTTCATATTTCCCTGGAGGTTTCATTGATTACGCGGGATGAAATAACGTAGACGATATGTTTTAGACAATGACTGTTCATCGTCATATGCTTATCTAATTTAATATTTTGTTCACCTAGAGACTTGTTTTGCCTGAAATGTGGGAATATGAATTTCTTCGTATTCGCGGTCTATGTCCCCATTATAATTATTCTACCCATGGGAAATTCACATTTCCATCAGCGACGGTTTCCTCTGTGGAGATTTAACTGATTTATAATTTGTAAGTCATTTAAAAATTACTGTTACTTGTCAAAAGTGATGAACGAAAACCTTCCAATCCATGCAAATTTGGCTGATTCAATTTTTAAAAGGCACGCACGATGAAATGAATATGTATGGTACGCTCCACAGCATTTAAAACGTAAGAATAGTAAATATATTAGTTACACGTAAATAAAAGTATCTATGAAAATTATTTTAATATTTATTACAGATATGGTAATAAAAATTATTTAGACAATGGAAAGTACAATTTCTGACGAATTAATCAGCTATTGTACATTAGTAAATATAAAATATTTAAACTTTATTATGAAATACATATAAAAATAAAGAAACGGCGTAAAAATTCATCAAATGGGCTTTTCACTCATTAGACACAAATACAATTAATTATCTATTTCTATTTACAAATAGGTGCTAAGAATCAATTTTTGGACCCTACATACATAGTATTACAAACATGGAGACAATATTATTAAAACTGCTATCCGATTGTATGCCTAGTTTTTGCGTCTCGGCTCATAAGACGCAAAAACTATCTTCGGGCATTGAGTATGGGTCGATATTACAAATCTAAGACACAAATTTATATTAATAAATATCCGGTCCTTTGTCCACGGCACTACACGGACATTACCGACGTTTAAAACGAGGACACGATTTGATTTTTATTTTATAATAGAATCGCCGACGCCCCTAACTCAATGCCCCCTTAATAATACGATAAATAACTATTTTTACTAGGTAACCCATAAAACAGTCACAATAAATAACTGTACGGCTAATAGTTCAAAATAGAGAGATTGCAACAGTAAAATATTTAAATTCCTAAGAAAAACAATTTGTTTAAATGATTGTGGATCGACTCTATCCACACAAACCCCACAGTGCAGGTTCCTTAAAGAGAGTTCCTGTTTTAATTTAAATCACGTGAAAACCTGTAAAGAAGAAAAGATTGTTAAAATTCACCACACCGCTACCGTAACCCTGGATAATCTATATAATAAATGCTTTCTCCACCTTATTAACGACCAAAAAAGTTGATTTTCTGTATCTTCTTTCTTCTGTTTAAATTACCGTAATAGCATTATTATATATATAACTGAGTTACACTTATACGTGACAACAAGGCGGTCATTGGTTGTTGATATACTCGTTCTGTTCGACACGAGGCCCGGGATTCGAATTCCAGTAATTCCAATAACACCTTTATGTCGCGAAGTTCTGTCATTTGTCCTCGTTGTCATTACTACTACATTAGGCGTGAAGCTCTTAAACACTCCCTTCTATGGGAGACCAAAGTTGTTGCTGTTCCCAGCGGTGGGAAATCAATGGGTTGTAAACTACATGTCAAGGTTTGACCAATAAACACCATATTACTATGCAGGCCACTTGGCAATTTATTTTCTTTTTTCACTCCATTTAAACGAACGCTCGCATTGATTAATGAAGTCTAGAGCCGCGAACAGTCATTTGTCTTTCATTTAATTGTTCTTGGAGGCTTGTTACGTTGTAAGGACGCAAATCGACTAGTAAGGCGGGAGCAACAAGAAATAGCGATCATTGCTAACCAGACGTCAATTAGTTATTTTATTTTTCAGAGCTGAACGAAAATGCAATAAGCGACTGGCTGCCATTTCATCGCTCATTGCGTATAATTTTGTCAGAAAAAGTGATTTTTATGTTGAGCAAAATCTAATAACTTGGGTCCGAGACAACAGTTTATTTCTAAAACAAACCTTTTTCAATAATTATATGATACTCTCCTCCACCACCCTGGGGAGGGCGGGGATTTGTCGCTAAAGAGGTCCGGTAACCTACAACAAATTAAATATTTTTATAATTTCAGCTTTGAAGTTTTTTTTAGGTTCTGTTCGAAAAGAGTAAAACAAAAACATATTACTAAAAGTTCGCTATCCGTGCTTATGTCGCTGTGTTACCAGGCTGTATTTATTCAACCGCGAAGTTAGTTAAACAATTTATTTATTTATTTTTAAGACAATTTTTATTACAGTATTTAAGACAGAATATTTTTTTGTTTTTATACGTACGGGACCCTTCTTCCTTGAGTGCGCTTCGAACTAGACAGGGTTTTTTATTTTTACAGAAAATGAGGTTTTCATCAATTTACGACCTTCATAATGTCAATTTTTATTAACGATATTGGAGCAGCCGATACTTTATTGAAATGTCTTAAATTAAACGAAATATTTCCGCAGTCGTGAGACTTAATATAATAATTAGCGTCTTTTAAATGGACTAAGTGAATATTCGTCCGGGGATAATAGCTTCTACGAGCTCGAGCTTCCTAAATGGCTCGCGTGTGACCCTCGCGTCGTTATTGTCTGAAAGCCTTTAATGTATGTACGCCTGTAACGTATAATGTGAACGTCCCCTTAAGAGGTCGCTAAGGAAACGCGGGCCGAGGAATGGATCAATCTTACCTCGAAACAGTTATTGAAATCGTACATAAATAGATTCATTTCGACTGCGAACTCGTCTTAAAATTGGATGCTCAAAAAATATTTTATCTGCATAATATTTCGTATTCCTTGAATATTCATGAAAGAGCGAAAACTACGTTTCGTTTCCATTCAATTGATGGAATTCCTTTTCAGATCAATAAAAATCAAAACAAGAACTCCCCTTCAATTAGTCTTCCAGTCGGCCACGTCTGCTCGCAGAATCGAAAGAATGTTTTAAATAATAACTGAACGACGTCCGTTCGATCAAAAATAAATAAATAAATATTTATTTCGTCGCTATCAGGTTTCTCTAGCTAAGTTAAATTTGTTTAGATTGTTTCGTAAAGACGACAGGCTCTCAATCATTTCGTTTTATTCGTCCGACGTGGCCACTTGAGCTTTCCTTTATACCTCGACTTACAGATTAATGTTACAAAATGAAGAACGCTCAGACATCTGTTCCACGGCTATTCAGTCCGCTGATGGTTTTCTGTTGCAAATAAATTACGGAGCTCGTCTACGATTAAATTAACAAGAAGTATTATTTTTAAAGTGAAGCGGCAACATTTTACAATGAAATTAAATCTGTGATTGTTTTTCATTCAAATTCATATCGCAGTGTCGGTGCGCTCGTTGTTTGCATTGAGCTCAAGGGCTGCAGAGAAAATTGTTTTGATTTTTTTTTTGATTAAATGCAGGAACTCCCTTTTGATTTCAATTTATCTTGTTTAAATATGCTACTTTTATAATGCTTATTTATAAACGTAGTAAACGTAATGTTAAGACAAGCATATTTACCAAAACGTTTCCCTTATTGCGGGATTTCGCATGCTATTTATGGCCATATGAATATAAAGCACGTCCTTGTCTTTCGTAAAAATCCAAACAGAGGCTCTATTAGACGCGCAAAAAATATGACGCGCTCTGAATAAGTACCCTTAAATAAGTCACGCTATAAATTAAACCTTTTTTCCCGCTACGTATTGGAGGATAAGTTGCGGTCCTGTTATTTTTCGGGGAACCACGACAAAAAAGCGGATACGAGAACACTGTTTTCTTAAAAAATGAAAAAGAATATAGAGAAAGGTTGTTGGGGAATTGGAGAATATTACCTGAGTATAAATGTTAATAGATACCTGTGTAGTGGGTTCTTGTTTGACGGTAAGTTTCGGGGAGTGTTCGGCAGTAGAGAGCGTTCGGCGCACCAGTCTCGCGAAGGTGCACCTGAATTGACGACTCATGCTGCAGTACAGCACGAAGTTGACGGATGACGTAAATAGTGCTAGTACGTCCATTAAGTCACCTGAATAAAAATCACCATGTCGTTAATAGAAAAAAAATAACGCAAAAGAAGAACGTGTGCAGCCTCGTCTTCTTTCTCTATACACTTTAAAGGCTTTTATTTATCGGCCTACACTTATTCCTCAAGCGTTGACAGATAAGGCGCTGTATATCTATATAAACAGGTGATTAGAGGAAACTACGGCGAACCCTCCTCAAATATCCCAAGTTCTTACTTCGTACGATATGATTCGAAGCGAAGCAGAAGTCACTTAACGTATAGTGTGGTGAGCTTAATTCGATTGCTCGCGAAACTTTGCGCTTTCACAACGTTTCAGCGGCAACGAATTAAATTTAATTAATTACATTTTTCACGAAACAACGCGTAATCGGGGAAGTAATTCATAAATCTCACCGCACGAATTGAACTCGATCGATTTCTTGGCACGGCGTTCTTCAATTTTGCATTGTTTATTGACGAAAGAATGTAGGCACGCGCGCTAAAAGCGAATGATTCTTTTCAAGGAACGCAGCGTAAACATTTCAAAATGATTAAAGAGTAGAGAAAAATTCTACTTCGGTTCTCGTAATGAAGTTCACTTATTATTGGTTAATAGACAAAGAATGATCGACCGCGGGTTTTTCCACTTTCACATTGAAATTTACCATTCATTCGATAAAAAGGGCTTTGCCAATTCCACCGAACGTAATTTTAGCATAAAGGCTGATATGGCCATGAGAAATCGATAAATTTATTGAAATATAAAATTAACAAAATTTCATCTCATTAAGAAGTTAGTAAGACATTATAAAGGCTGGTATTACGGCACACAAGAGACAATTAAGAGACACAGTTTACGATTTTGTCTTGCTGACCGTACATCGCGTTCGTGTTGTCTACTTTGTATTTGTTATCTTTATCACCGCTTTACGTTTTAAGAGCCATAAAGCTTCCTCAATTAAATTTTAATGCATTCTTCCCTGAGGCGCAGTCTTACCAAATATACTTAATTATGTAGAACCACAGACAATGAATAAATAATCATTATTAAGTCGATTAGGGGTGGGGTATTATAATCTCCATGAATAGGCATATGGCGTTCAAAAGAAAATGAAAAGGGTGGTAATTTATAATGATCTGTTTAACATGCAAAATTATGTAGTTTCTGCTAACCGCCGCCGCCTAAGACTAGGGAAGGCAGATGTATTGCCACCGTAACGCGTTACGTCACGAAGTAGTTTATAACTCTTATTTAAAAAAATAAATCTGTTGTAATTCTTATTTAATCACAAGCGTAACATGTATAGCCGTGTGTTGTAGCAATTTCCTTCATCCTGGGTATATGTAGAGGGATGTAAGAGTCTACAGCTTAAATGAGTGAAGGGATTAGCTAGGAACAATGCGCTGCCCTCAATCTCAGCCGACCGACATTTTCCTTTTAAATAGAGAACAAAAATGCGACCCTTCGAAATTGCTCGTCCCAAAATGTGTTGGTGTTAATTAATAGATATTTACATACAAATGAAGTCCTCTCGCGAAACCCTTCTCGCTACGGCTAAGTGCTACACATTATTGTTAGGAATGAAGTTAAGTCGCACACACTAAAAACTGAAAGCTTTCAGTTTGTTATGAAGAAATAACGACGGAAATGGTAAATAGATTTTCAACTACTGTCTCGGCTTACACGAAAAGCCATTAAAAGTGATTTAAATCAAATAGAATTTTGTTTATTCGCGGTTCGAATCCCAAGGATACTTAACTCCTTGGGATTCGAACCGCGCCTAACGGAACGGAATAGTGCTAAGTGCAAAATATTTAATTATAAATTAAGTAGAAAGTGAGGATATGTTTACGTACGCACATATTTAACAATTTCGAATGTTCCGTGCGATTCGTTGGTGAAAGTTTATCGCGTCGCTCTGCGTCGCTCGTTCCAGTAACATTTTATAGAGTTGACAAATCGTTAAAGTTTACTGCTGCCGATAGCGTGACAGCGTAAAGAAGCGGAATTTAAATTGCGTCGTTTACTTTCGTATGAACACTTAATTTTAATACTTTCTTTTTAATACTTTGAAACTAAACACGAAATGAAAATATTTCACGCAAGTATTACACTGACTTACAAAATAGGAATTTCTTACCGAACATGCTGTAACAGCTTTTGAAGAAGTCAGGGGCTAAAGCGCTCACAAGACCGAGCAAACCCTGAGGTACTTCCGTCGACAAAAACAGACCTAGAACCGCCAGCAACATTCTGGTCGTCCTGTCGGTTCGGTTCGACCGGCGGACTGAGCTCGAATCTTCTGCTAAGCACTGCTTCTCGGCCTAGAAAGGTACACGAAATGAGTTGTGTTGATTAGCAACGGCGGCAGCGTTCGCAACCTTCGGCAAGGAATGTAAATATTTTAAAAGTTAGAATTTCACAGTTCCCCCGAGCGTATTGCTCATTCTTAACAAGTTTTAGAAGTTTACTTATAATTAAATTAATACTCACCTCGTTGGGTCCCACGGTCGAGCGCTTCAGCAGTTTCTGTCTCCTTCTGTCGGTCGTAGTTAACTTAGATATTAGACACGTACTCAATATCGATAAAGCTATACTCGGAACGAGTTTCAATATAACACTGTATATCCACATTATCGCGGTCACTAGTTCTTTGTTCTTTGACATTTCTAACACGTAAACGGTCCGGTTTTGCGGCAAAGACAGGTCCAACGCGAACTCGGAGTTGTTCCGCGAAGTCACTTCGTTAGGCACTATGTTCATCGCGAAGTAAATGGGAAGACACAAGAAGGGGCAGATGATGTAAGCGCTCACGATCGCCACGGTGGTGTTGCGCTTGCTGCACAGCGACCTGTTCTTATGAGGGTAGGCGATCGCTATGTACCTCCAGACCGCGAGGGTGACGGCCAGCCAGATCGATATGGTGTGGAAGGTCTGGCTGAATATGGAATGGAAATAGACGAAAACCGCCCAGCCGTAGGTGTTCTTGTTGACCTGGGGCCCGATTTTGATATTCATATGCATCACGTAAGGTATGTATTCGAGCATGACGAGGAGGTCGGCCACGGCGAGGCCGGTGAGAATGGAATTGGTCGGACTGGCCATTTCGCGGCGACTCAGAACGGTGATGTTGATGGAGTTGGTGGCGGATCCGACGATGCATATTACGATGGCGAGATAGCCGTGCAGGCGGCTGTACGCTTTGTTGAAATTCGTCGCTCCCGGCACACAATAGAGGTCCGTCTCATTAGCCATTATCGAATCTCGTCGGGTTCTTGTCTTCAATCATTGATTTTTTGGGTGTTCACCCCGTCCGCTCGCGTTGGCGCCTCGTTGTTCACCATCGCTGCCTCTGAAACGAGCACATGGGGTACACCTGTAGATCGAGATCGTAAATATACTTACCAAGGTTTGGTTACATATAAGTATGGTAAAATTCGGATTGTCGCCTTTTAGCAAAAACCGGCGATTTCGTGAAATTACTGCTTTTGATTTAATCATAAACCGGACTAAATAGTTTATCGGGGTACTTTAAACGTTGACCAGAACTTTGCTCGGTCGTTTCGTCGAAATCTAATCCCGAGCCGAAAATTCAATGAAACGAGCCGCCTCTCTATCCAAATAGCCTTATTATTTGAAAAGCGCTGAGAGAAGACGTATATTGGGAAAACCACAATTCGCAAAGTTCGCTCCGTTATCGATCCGAGTTCATTCTAATGATGGGTTGAGTACCGTTTTAAAATATTGATTTTTAAATGTGGGTACGCCAGAGGCGACGGCCTCTTGGCTCTTGAAATATGTCAGATTTCAATTCGTTTTCAAATGAAGCCTACATTTTAAGAATATTCTTTATAAATGTTCTACACGATTACATTACATATTACGTAAAATAATCTGTTTCACAAAAAAGTATATTTTTATTTATTTAAAATTTCTACAAAACTAAGCATCCATTCATTATTATATATATATATATATATATTATGTTAAAACGAAGACTATTATTAGAATCACCTTTAAAATATACCCGGTATCTCCCTTCAATCTGTAGGGCTAAATATGAAGAAGAGAAATTGCATTGCCATCGCGTATTTACCATCTCCGCTAATGTAGGTGTAAACTGATCTAGGCGTGTTTACGAAAATGCGTCAAAACTTTATGCCCTCCATAAATTACTTCCTACCTTGAAAAATTTCATTTAAAATTCTAATGTGTAGGTGAATGCTGAAAATAGCTCGGTGAAAATATTGCATTGTACATCTTGTTTTACCCCGCACAATAAAAATAAGCAAAGATTACACGTTCGTTTAAAGTTTAAACAATTACTTCTTCGTAAATTAGACAGCAGATTTGTTTTACACAATCGATTGATGAAAAATCAATATGTACATAATAACGACACACAATACTTTATTTATCATTTTAACAAAGTACAAAGGAGACACGAGATTTGTATTTTAATATAACTTAAGTTTTGGAAAGACAAAATCTGTTTTGGTTTACATTTCTATCGTATTATAGTAAGATTTACATCTATTAAATTGGATCCAACTTTTTAACGAAATTTAAAACTCCGAAGAAATAGTCTTATCTATAAAATTAATGTCGAAAGTCAGTGTCACTCCGGACTAATACTTTACACTCAAAGAAAACATTAAGAAACTCCGGGTGAGCCGAGTTCCCACCGAGTCCCTCGACAGTGCTCCGTTGCGCAGCGGGAAACGTTATTAAGTGGCCACTTCAGACTCCGCGATGACACTCGCAATAATTATTATCCTCGAATTCGCGATTTTCGTACTCCGTTAAAATATACAAAAAACGAAGCCAAAGGCAACGTAAGCGAAGTTCACAGGCTCACAGCTAACCTTGTGACGTCGTTCTTGACGTAAGTCATCTTTAACCAACAGCATACAAATAATGATTTGACGAATTGTAGGTACTTGCTCCATCTCCAACATTATGTGATCATATTTTTTATTGAGAGAATTTCGCCCGATCGATCAGTAAATAAGCATGTGTTAATATATTACGCAATGTGACTGTAGCAATTCAATCTACATGTCAAACATTTATGCGAGTATTAACTTCGTCAGTAAATAAGTTTTAAAATGGTAACGACGGGTCGAGTAAACGGAAAACTATTAAGTAAGGAAGAGTGATTATCGCGTCATGACAACAAGGAATCAACATTCCACTATCGCATACTATCGCTTTATCGTAACGAAGAACTATAAAATAGCGTTCGCATTCTTCCGACTAGTCATAATAATGATGGCAGTTGATCATATTTTATTACACGTTCAGGACTTTTGTTGAGCGTTCTTCAAACTAACTACAACAATATTAGGTATATTATACCACAAGTTAATTACTTAGGTTTACTTTTGTATAAATAATAACAAAAATGAAGTAATGGCACTGACGGCCTTTTTTCTCATTCATTTTTCTGTGAGATAGAAAGGTATTTATATATTATTACCTTTAATCTCTATTTAGTGTGTAAATAATGGGAAAAGATATCACTTGACACAAATTAAGTGTAAAATTCAAAACATATGAGGCGGCCGACATATTTCATTCGACTCGCGTGCTGCTGACATGCGGGTACTTTGTATTTTTCCACTCGCTAACAGCGCGTATGATACATCAATCTCTATGAAAAGCTCCGTAACAGGTGTGCACAAAAGCTTTCTTAACAACGACTTTTGAACACGCGCATATGGCGTACAATTTTTATCCGTATCTTTTCGTTGGCAATTAAATTACGCTCACTTAATAAAAGCCTCGGAGACGAAACAGAATACAATTCGACTCAATTGATTCGAAGGAGCCTAGCTGAAGTTAACTTAACGAGGCTGTAAAATTTTCAGGGCTCAGCTTAGCGATGTCTTAAGTGAGATTTAGGAAATTTTTCTTAGAGATAAACCATGGGATTGAAGCTACTTAAACGTTGTATTTGTAAATAAGTAATACTGTAGATTAGGTCGTCGAATTAATTTCTTAGTGCGCCGTAAGATGTATTTTCGTACTGCTTAGAAACATTATTGAGTCCCAAAAATGACGTATAAGTCATTATCATCGACTCTAAAGCGATAAAGCCGATTTTAAAATCATTTAAGGTTAAATATTGAAATGCATATTACCAGTTAGCTTCATGATTTTGGAACGAAACAATTGCGCAACGCGAAGGTCGACAAGTCATTAAACTATCTGCTGCTTGTTAAGGCATTATTTAAAAGAGTATTACGTAAAGGTCTTTAGAGTAGCTAAAAACTCCTAATATATATTGATATGTTTTGTATGTTAACAGTGACGTCATTAAAAGTAAATCTGCGCATATGTTTGTGTATTATTTGTACAGGGTTTGATTAGTTTTGATATGTTACCACAGTTTACGTGAAAATGAAGATATGAATAATAAAGAAAATGTTTCGGTGGTCTAGGAAGAGCACAAAAGCCTGACCAATTCGCCCGCCACGGACAGACAGAAACGAGAAGTGTGTGTGTAACATCTTCCTCTTCAATCTCATCATTTTACTATTAGACTACAAAAAAAGATCGGTGGGAATACGTCGGGTCAGTGTATATGTTATACTTACATTAGTTTTGTGTATTGTGTAATCATAATCATACAAAGGTTACGACGGTTAGTCGTTTCACACATACACACACACACACACAAAATATTTGCCCAAGTAAAGTGTGACAATTTTAATAAAACACTTTAACGGTTTAAAACGTTATTAATAAAACACTTAAACGGATATATTATTTAAACTTGTTCGAAAATGATTTTTAACTTCGGCCCGACGTTTCAGTGTCCCCGTGACCACGGCTGCTGCAAAGCATCCGAAACGTGTGTACTACTCGCGTAAACTATAGACAGTATTTAAAGTGTGACAAGACGAATAAGCGTCCAAGTCCCAGCGTAATACAGTTATCAGTTATCGAGGCGAAACAAGGGATCAGCGTTATGTGAAGGAGAGCGAAATAATCGAACCTTTTCTTCGTCGTAGCGATAAAAGAGGAATTAAAACGCCGTACTTCTTGCGTCGACCGCGATCTCTTCACTTAGATGCTTTTCCGATAGTTTCAATCCGCTCCAATGCGGTTGAGTAGATTCAAATCCTGATGAAAATTAATAACTGAGTATAATTTAGGCACAATGCACATTGACCGTGTTAATATTGTGTTTGACAGCACGTATTTGTGGTTTACATATGAGTATGCAGTCGACACTAAAATCGATTGCAATAAAGTACAAATGAAATTTTGTATCTTTATGCACAATGTTCAAGTTCTTTAAAAGAGATTTTATATTAAACAACACTGTAATCAGCAATCAAATTAATTAAAACACTTAGGTGCCTTTAATTTCGTTCGACCCAACGTTTCGGCCATTTTTTTAATGTATAGCAGTGGCATAAACCACAGATATTAATTTAATAGACTGTATTTTAAACTTTTGGGGTTTCGTCAGTATTTGCATATGTTTGACAACGAGGACATAGGGATGCCGTGCTGTGTGTTTCGTTGAAAGTAAATCAGCATGAGCATAAATATGCTTGCTAAACATACTTCTGTGGACAACCAACGCGTTCGCGATGCTCCACAACAGGATTAACGGAAGGGGGTAATATTAATGTTTCCCACGTCGCTCGTCTGCTATATTCATATTTTGTGCGTAGCAAAAGAACGGGAATTACATATTCGAATCCACAATTTAATGTTAAACCCAATTGCTAAAAAGGAAATTAAACAAAAGCCGCCGTTACATAATTGATTTAGTTCTGGCGAAATTTTTTGAAGTCCTTTGCCTGTTTTATTAATTATCATTGCGTAAATATTAGTTCTACGTCGTATGGAATTTAATATTCGTTGGCTTTGCGCCGAGAAAATCCAATTTTATATTCTTCATTCACTTCTTTCTTAATGCTATATATATTTATTTAGTACTGTCTTATATTCAACTTTTATTATATACTAACTTCTATTTTCAGTATACCCAGTACATATTTTTTCGTCACTCGCAAACTATTCCATTGAGATCCTCTAAAGTAAATTTTAACCTTAGTAGTGTATTGTTCCAAGTAAGTGTTCAGGTGAGTGCCATTTTGAGAATATAATAAAAGCCTTACACTTACTTACACATAATAATAAACTATGTAATTATATTTAAAATCATTATATGTATAGTAATTAATGACTCAGGTTCCGTCGGTAGAGTTTGGTTCTAAGAATTCCATTTTGTAAAC